CAAAGATTAACCAATGTGATGAGGAAAAAACCCACATGATTATCTCATTGGTGCGGAAAAGCATTTGACAAAATTCAACATCCTTTCATGACAAAAACACTTAGCAAACTTGGAGTAGAAGGGAACGTCCATAACATGATGAAGGACATTTATGAAAAACCTACAGTTAACATTATTCTCAGTGGTGAAAGACTACAAACTTAACCCCCAAACAGCAGGAATTAGACAAGAATGCCCACTTTTTTTTAATTATGTTAATCACCATACATTACATCATTATTTTTTGATGTAGTGTTCCATGATTCACTGTTTACATATAACACCCAGTGCTCCATGCAGAACGTGCCCTCTTTAATACCCATCACCAAGGATGCCCACTTTTTATCACTTCTCAACATTGTGCTGGAAGTCCTAGTTAGAGCAGTTAGGCAAGAAAAAGAAATAAAAAGCATCCAAATTGGAAAGGAAGAAGTAAAGATATCTCTATTTGCAGATGATACTATTCTATATGTAGAACATCCTGAAGAACACACACACACACACACACGCTAAAAATACTAATAAATGAGTTAATCAAAGTGTCAGGGTACAAAATCAACACATAGTAAACAACCAGAAAAGGAAATTAAGGCAATAATTCTATTTCCAGTAGCACCCAAAAGGATAAAATACCTAGGAATAAATAAATACCCATGGAGATGAAAACTTGTACAGTGAAAACTGCAAAATATCGCTAAAATGAGTTAAAGAAGACCTAATTAAATGGAAAGACATGCATGTCCATGGATCGGAAGACTTAATATTGGTAAGGTGGTAATGTCCCCACAAAGTGAGCTCTAGATTCAGTGTGATCCCTGTCAGAGCCTCAGTGGCCTTTCTATGGGAATGGAAAAGCTGATCCTCAAATTCATATGGAATGGCAAGGAGCCCCAAATAACAAAAAATCTTGAAAATTAAAGACCAAGTGAGAGAACTCACATTTCCCTATTTCAAAACTTACTATAAAGGTACCATGAGTAAAAACAATGTGGCTGAAGAGATACTTTTCCAAAGAAGACATACAGGTAACCAACAGGTACATGTAAAGGTGCTCAGCATCACTTATCATCAGGGAAATGCAAATCAAAATCCTAAGAGCCAAGATATGGAAACAACCTAAGTGTTCATCAACAGATGAATTAGATAAGGAAGATTTGGTGAGTGTGTACACACGCACACTCGCACACATTTTTCAGCAATGGGAAAGAAGGTAATCCTTCTGTTATTTGTGACAACATGGATGGATCTTGAGGGCATTATGCTAGGTGAAAAAGGTCAGACAGGGGAAGACACATACTACATGTAGAACTTATATGTGGAATTTTTTTTTTAGAGGTCAAAACATAGAAACAGTAAAAGAGTCGTTGCCAGGGACTAGAGAGTTGGGGAAATAGGGAGAAGTTGGTAAAAGGGTACACACTTTCAGCTATAATATGAATAATGTGTGAGGATGTAAAGTAATACATGGTGACTATAGTTGATAATACTGTATTGTATAATTGAATTTTTCTGAGCATAGAACCTAAGTGTTCTACCAAAAAAAATAGGTAATGGATGTGTTAATTAGATGGTAGGAATGATTTCACAATGTTTATGTATGTATATATACTACAATATGCACTTTAAGTATCTTATAATTATGTCAGTTATATATATCTTAATAAGGATGATACCGGGGCAGTATGGTATTGGCATAAGTGTAGACCAGTGGAGTGGGATGGAGATTCCAGAAATAAATCCAAATTTCTGTGGACAATTGATTTTTGACAAGGATGCCAAAGCTGTTCAGTATGGAATGAATAGTTTCTCTAAGACATGGTGAAGAGACAACTGGATGTCCACATGCAAAAAAATAAAGATGGACCCCTAACTCATCCCATATACAAAAATGAACCCAGAATTGGTGAAAGAGCTAACACTACAAAACTCTTAGAAGAAAGCATAGGGGGCAGATCTTCATGATCTCGGATGTGTCAGAGGATTCTTAGATTCAACACCAAAAACACAAGCAACAAAAGAAAAAAATAAATTAGACTACTCAAAATTAAACACTTGTGTGTGTCGAAGGGGATTATAAAAAATGTGAAAATACAATTTAAGGAATGGGAGAAAATACTAATCCACATATTTTATAAGGGGATAATATCCAAAATACATAAAGAACTCTTAGAACTGTACTACAAAAGACAACCATTTAGCCAAGAAGATATACAAAGTGGCCAACAAGCACATGAAGACATTCATCATCTTTGGGCATTAAGGAAACTCAAAACCACACACTTGCTTCACACTCACTAGGATGGCTATAATGATAATAATTTTTTTGGGGGGTGGCTGCATACTAACACAACTTGGTAGTTTTTATTGTCTAGGACAATGGTTACAGACCACAAAGACTCGGGAAGACCCATTGCTTGGGCCCAACAAGAGACAATACTCTCCCTCGCAGTTCAGAGTCCTCTGGGCTGTAAGGGGACAGGCTTTTTCTTACGTGGCTCTGGTAGAAGGTCCGTGACTGTACTCAGTACAAGAAGAGCCATATCTGAGCCTACTTATGTGGGGGTGGGTGGATAAGGTGGCCATCCTCATTTCCATTACTTGGGTGCAACCCTGAAGACCCGGATGTGGATGGCCGAGTTGTTGCGGATGCGGGTCAGCGGCTCTCGTGTATCAGTCTCTGGTTCCAGCTCATCGACAAGCTCCACGGTGGAGGTATTGGCAGCCACCTGCAAGGACCCGAAGCTGCCTGCCTGAAGCTGTAGGGCAATGTTGATGGCACGGTTGATGGCCAGGCCCAAGCCATGAATGTAGATCTCACTGCATGAATTCTGACCCTGAGCCCCTCCGTCTAGAAGCTTTTGGCAGCGGGCCAACTGGGCCTTAAAGTCAGTCTTCATGTTGACATAAATGTCATTGGGCCTCCGGGGCAGGAGGTGGGGGAGCCGCTTCCGAAGGGTGTACTCCACCGGGTCCAGCTCAGCATCGACGGGTCCAGCTCAGCATCGACGGCCCCACGGGGCTCTCGGTTTTCCGCCATGCTGTGTGCCACTCTCCATTCCACAGTCCTCTTCCCGATCACGCAGCCCGCTCCAGGCCAAGCCACTCAAGCGAGGCGCCCACCCGCTCGGACTGAGCGCGTGGCGCCGGACACGCAGGACCGAGGAAGAGAAGAAAAGCCGCCCGCCGGAGGATCGCGAGACTGCGGCCGCCCTTACGGCTCGGGGATCTTGAAAGATAATAATTTTTTTAATGGAAAATAACCAGCATTGGCAAGGACATGGAGAAATAGTAACTCTTGCACATTGTGATAGGAATGTAAAATGTAGCAACTTCTGTGGAAAACAGTTCAGCCCAAAGGTGGAAACAACCCAAATATCCATCAATGGATGAATAGATAAACAAACTTGTATATACCTACCATGGAATATTATTCAGCCTTAAAAAGCAATGAAGTTCTGACCCAAATGAATGGCTGAGCCTCAAAAAATCACGCTAAGTGAAAGAAGTCAGGCACAAAAGGCCCTATATGGTCCTGTATTGTAGGATTCCTTTTATGTGAAGTACCCCAAATAGACAAGCCGATAGATGCAGAACAGAGATTGCTAGGGAACGGGAGAAAGGGGAAATAAGTGAGTGACTGCTTACAGTAGGAGGCATTTTCTGGGGTGATCAAGAATTTTTGAGGGGCACCTGAGTGGCTCAGTCGTCAAGCGTCTGCCTTCGGCTCAGGTCACGATCCCAGGGTCCTGGGATCGAGTCCCGCATCGGGCTCCCTGCTCCGCGGGAAGCCTGCTTCTCCCTCTCCCACTCCCCCTGCTTGTGTTCCCTCTCTCGCTGTGTCTCTCTCTGTCAAATAAATAAATAAAATCTTTAAAAAAAAAAGAATTTTTGAAACTAGAGAGGTGGTTGCATAATATTGTGAATACACTAAAGCCACCGAGTTGTACTCTTCAAAATGAATAAATGTATGTTATGTGAATTTCAACTCAATTAAACAAAAAAGAAGCTGAGCTTTTGGCCTCTGGAGTCCAAACTACTAACTCCAAAGTCACTGTTTTCCTTGAAGGCTGGCTAGGTGGGGAAGAGGGTGGTGATGGGAGGTGGCGGGAGGGGTGCCAACATGAATTAGGGTAGGGCAGCAGAAGCAGGGAGTGGGAGGGGCCTGGGTTAGTTTGCGGGACCCAGAACCCCGGGGTAGGAGGCTGGCTGCTGCGGGGGCTGGTGGTGGTGGTGGTGCAGGGGAGGCCCAGAGGCCGGGGGGAGCAGGGCTGGACGGGCTCTGGCTGAGTCAGAGTGGCCTCCGCTGCCATGATGGTTTCGCACAGACTTTGGCTGGAGGGTAAGGGCTAGGGTAGAGGGCGGGCTGAGGTCTCTCTCCGTCACCCCTTCTCCTTCCTGTCCTGCAGATGTTGAACCTCTTTGTGGCCGTGATCATGGACAATTTTGAGTACCTTACACGGGACTCTTCCATCCTAGGGCCTCACCACCTGGACGAGTTCATCCGGGTCTGGGCTGAGTACGACCCGGCCGCGTGGTGAGTGGCCCCCGTGCTCCGTGGTCCTCAGGGTGGTCCATGCCACGGATCTCGGGACAGGGCTGGGTGGCTTCAGACCTGTGTCATGTGACACAGGTTTTGTCCAACCCCCTCAGGTTTTGGCGGGGTCCGCAGAGGGTGGTGCCAGGTCCCCTTCTAGGTGGCACGCTCCTTCTCATGCCCACAGTGCTCTTACACAGCTCCCTGGGCTGAGAAATGCTCTGTGAGACCCTTAGTCCAGCGCTTAGGAGGTTCCAAGGGGTCTGTGAGGCTCAGGTCTCTTGCCAAATGGGAGTGTACTGTCTCCTCACAGGTCTGTCACATGAGGGGCGTGGAGGGCTCAAGGGAGAGGGTGTGGACACAGCAGGAGGGCCTTCCCTTGGGGCCTCACCATCCTCATGAAGCTTGGAGGCCTTCATGGCAGAAATGACATTCTTCCCGCCGATGGGCTCAGGCCTCTCCCTCTCTGCCATCTCTTGGGAACAGGAGCCAACATGCACCTCTGTGTCCCCAGCCCCGGCTGCAAATAGCGGGCGCTTGGTGAACTTTCACTGAAATTAAAGGAGCTACCAAGAAGGGTCTAGTATGTTGACGACCCTTTGGTCATGGTGGGAAAGGGTTCCTGTGTTGCATTAAGTGAAGGGTAGTTTGTTTCCAGACAGAGCAAGTATGTCATGAGGGGACTGGCTTGGGTTAAAAGGGTGTTCCATGATCCATGGGAGAGTCCTGCACACCCAGGACACATACTCTTATCCTTGGGGCTAGCAAAGCAGCATGGACTCACCATCTGCCCATTTGTCTGTTCCTTCATCACTCGCTTCTTCACTTGCTTATTCATTCATTCACTCTCTCAAGCGGATACTTGAGTAGTTATTCAGGGCATGCTCTCTGCAAGGCCAACACAGGACATGGAGGGGCCAAGAGACCTGGCTGCTGGGGAAGGCACAGGCCTGCTCATCGCCTCGCTCATGGTGAGCGCTCAGCAGACATGAATGTGAATGAACAGTGCATCAGTAAACGGATGGCCATCCGTCCCTTCCCTCGCTCGAAGGGAATGAGAAGACTGTGAAGATGGGGTGTAGCCACTTCCCACCTCCTCTCTCCGAGGCTCCCAGCCTGCCCGTGTCCCCCTCGCACAGCTCTGTGTTTGGTCACCCCTTGCGTGGTAGAGGCCTGAAGGAGATGGTCAGTGTCATTGTGGGGAGGACCCTACTGCCCACAGTTTTTCCCTAAATTGGAGCTCAGCAAGGGGATTGCTCCAGAGCTCTCTGACCCTCAAGCCCCTGGGAGCTTGGCTGGGGTCCCCCACCCTCCTCTCATCCAGCCTTCCTGGAGCCCCTACCGCATCATGTGAGGATCCAGAAGATGCTGTATGAGACCCTTCCCATGCTGGGCAAGTCCTGAAACCACTGGTAGCACCAGCAACCCTAGGGCATTTCCATTCCTGTAGTGTCTCTGGGTGTTTTCCATTGTAGTGAAAATGGAATAATTTTCACGCAGTGCAGAACAAGCATGGCTTTTATTTATGTTTCATGGTGTAGGTGACCGTTTTTGTGGCCTCGGAGAGTCCTGTCATTTTGCTGATGCGTCAGCACATCGGCCCTGCAGTGCCCAGTCTCATTCTGGCTCAGGGGTAGGTGTGGGTTCTCTGGTCAGGAGGGCCCAGTCAGGTCAGAGAGCAGGAGAGACTCCAAGTGAGGCAGGCTTGAGGCTCATTCTAGGAGGGTCATCTGCACTGTGGTCTCAAGAGATGCTGCTGTTTCTGGGCACATTGTTTCCAGTATATGTGCTGCCGAAGGGAGCGCTGGGCACGTTGTTTCTAAAGGGTGTGTTGCGGGGAAGCAGAGATGCTGTATGGGCAGTATGTCCATATGTGCAGGACAAAGGCAAGTCAGTGCAGGCCTGTGAGAGGGGAGGACTTCCCCCAAATCTTTATGAACTGTAGACCCAGGGCTTCCCCTAGTCCAGCCACAGGTGGAGCAGAATTTGGACATACAGGAAATGGACTTGGGCCGGACTGTGGTTTTGTGATGGTGCACAGGGGGCTCAGACTCTTTCCCAAATCCAGAGTTCTGAAAATGGGTCCTGTGGAAGGCAGGGGCCATTGGGAGTGGGGTAAAGAAAGTGTTGTGGAAGAGTAGACAGCAAATAGAAGTGTGTCACCCCAGAGGTGGCATCTGTGAAATAGCACACAAGACCGTGATCCAAAAGTAGCAAAAATGTGACCCGCAACTAACACTCGGACTTGCTGCTCCCACATGTGGCCTCGGCTGAAAACATAGCCTGCCTCCAGATGGCAGGGGATAGGGGAAGGCCCAGCAGAGGCAGCTGAGGAGAGAGTCCTGGGCACAGGACCGAGGGTGCTTTGAGCTCTTCCTAGCCTCCGCGGCAGATGTAGGGATGTGGTCCGCTTTATATCCCAGGTGGCCACTCTGCTGTCTCCTCGTTCTTGGAGAGATTTAAAGAACAACAAAACTTTGTGAAATTTCCCAAACTTTCATATGTGTGTATGGCTCTGTGGGTGTGTGCAAAAGTGTACACAGGTGTGGGTGTTGCATATGTGCACAGGTGTGTTTGTGTGCCCATGTGGCATGCATACATGCATATGTGCAGCAGACATGCAGGTGTGCATGTGCGCACACGCACATGGTTTGGGTGTACGCGTACGAGCGTGCTCACGTGATTGTGCAAATGTGTGAGCACAGTGCATGTGTGTGAATGTGTAGCAGACATACATGTGTGCATGTGCACACACGCACATGGTTTGTGTGTATGCGTATGAGCGTGCACATGTGACTGTGCAAATGTGTGAGTGCAGTGCATGTGTGCACGTGTGTGTGCATGGGTGTACATGCACATGGTTTGTGTGTACGCGTATGAGCGAGCACAGGTGATTGTGCAAATGTGAGTGCAGTGCTTGTGTGTGAATGTGTAGCAGACATACATGTGTGCATGTGCACACATGCACATGGTTTGTGTGTACGCGTATGAGCGTGCACAGGTGATTGTGCAAATGTGAGTGCAGTGCATGCGTGTGAATGTGTAGCAGACATACATGTGTGCATGTGCACACATGCACATGGTTTGTGTGTACGCGTACGAGCGTGCACACGTGATTGTGTGCAAATGTGAGTGCAGTGCACGTGTGCACTGTGTGTGCTTGTGTGCACGTGTATTTGTGCAGCAGACATACATGTGTACATGTGCGCACACGCACATGGTTTGGGTATATGCGTACGCGGGTGCACACGTGATTGCAGATGTGTGACTGCAGTGCATGTGTGCACGTATGTGTGAATGCGCGTGTGCATGGGTGTACACGGGCATGCATGCTTGTGTGTGCACATGTGTGTGAACGCAGGTGTGCATGGGTATGTATGTGCACATGTGCGTGCACACATGCCTGCTGTGGGGAGATGAAGAAGGCGTGGGGTTGTTGCTTTCTGGTGCCGCCTTCTCCCATCTTCCCCGTTGCCTCACTTGGTGAAGTGTAGAGAGTCGAC